GGTACGATGCATAGGCCATGCTTTTCTGCAAAGAATGTTAGATAAAAAAATATATCTGAAAGAGTGTCTGACATGTAAATATATAACGAAAATATGATTTTTGGGGAAAACCGCCTTTCTTTTCTCAAGTGTTGTGATCTGTCAAAATGGTTTTGTTCTTAACTTCATTTCTGGGAGAAAGCGAATAGCAACACAACGGAAAGCTCTGAACCAGGAAGAGAAGAAAAGAATAAATCAAAGTGGCGTGGATCCGAGGTTTTTGGGATGCACTCCATTTTGGACGTTTAATATTTGAAATCCTCAAATTTATATTCGAAACGAGACAAGCGAATTTGATGATAAAGTGATTGTTATAATTAAAAAGTTATTATTATTCTTTACGGTTCTAAATTCAAGTAATATATATGTAAGAGTGTTGAGAATCTTAAAATAAATATTACCTTATATTCAATTTGAAATGACTCCAATTTCATTTATTTGTACCTCCGAGCTATGTTTATATTTTAGGATAAATTATGCGTTTAATACTTAAACTATCATTATTGGTCTATTTTAGTACCTACACTTTTAATTTTTTTTCAAAATAATACCTAAAGTTTAGTTATATTTCAAAATTTAACGTTAAGTTGAAAAAATTGAAAGTTTAGATACTAAAACGGATCAAAATTGATAGTTTAGGTACTAAACGTATTAAGTTTTTAATTTTTAATTTTTTTTAAAAGTTTAAGTACTAAAACATACCAAAACTGATAGTTAATGTACTAAATGTGTAGTTTATCCTATATTTTAAAGGGTAAACTATAAATCACCTAATTATGAGATTGGTGTTAATATAACCATCATTTTTAAAATCTCCTCAGTATGACCATTTAACTATTTAATTGATTTCAATATAATCACTTGTCGTTAATATTTGATGGAAGTGCTGACGTGACAAGTAATAAAATTAGTATAATTATACAACTTTTTGATGTTATATGCTTTCAACAATGTTTCTTGTTGTTGATGAGATGCTTTGAGCTTGTTTTTTATATCCTTTCTATAATTTTTAGCCGTTAGGAGTTGTTTGGGATGCAACAGTGTCGTCGCCTACAAAAATACATAGCATTTAATACATGAGAGATCGATTTTTTAAAGGGATCGATCTTTTTACAAATATTTGATTGTTGCCAAAAGATAAATCATTCAAAAGAAGAGATCGATCATTTTTTTATAAGAGATCGATCATTTTTTTATGAGAGATCAATCCTTAGTGAGAAGAAATCGATCCTTTTTAACAGTGAATTGGTCTAATTGCTACTGTGATCATATGAATCGATCCTTTTGAAGAAGATATCAAACTTTTTGTAAAGATATTAATCCTTTCAACAAAAAATACTATGAAACTCAACTTAAAAGCGCATAAATAACTGAGTAAGTATTTTAAAATTTTTGACTAAGTTGAAAAACATTTAAATTGTATATATAGAGTCAAATACTAAAGGTTACATTTCTCCAAAATAATTCTTCCATATCTATAGACAGGGACGAAGCTCCCTTAAGGCCCAAGGAGGTCCCGACCCCTATTAAAATTTGTATATTTGATATAATTTTAGTTTAATAATATTTTGGTTCATGAAAAAAATAAATATTCAAATTTAAAAAATATAAAAAATTATTAAATATTAATCAAGTAGGACCAAACTAAAGAATGATAAGTATGTGCTCTCAAATTTTTAATCTAATTACAATTTAAATTATTGTAAGTTTAAATATTAGACAAATTAGAAGTTGTCTATTAAATTTTAAATTTTTTAATATAATTTTAGGGTGAATACAAGGTAGTATGTATACAAAGACTTTCAACTATATGAAAATGAACGCTCATACCCCTACATACACAGTGCTCGAACTCGAGACCTCAAGGATAACAACAATCTCTTAATCACTAAGGTCGCTTGGTTCATGCTGAATTTCAAATTTAAATTCCTAATAAGTCTTTATATTTTCATAAATAGTATAATATTTCAGCTCATGTCGATATTTAATTTTGGCTCCGTCCTTGTCTATAGAGTCAAATATTTGTCACCAAGATACTTAATTTCATAAGACTTATTGATTAAAATAAGTATTTATGTATTAAATAAACTAAATTACCGAGTAATTTTCAATTACTATAATTATAATAAAAATTCAACTTAATATACCAATTAAGTTTGAGTTAATATAATATAATTGATCAACATAAAATAGAATCGATTGTATACTTTTTAATCAAATTAGATTTATTATTTTCTTCAATTATCTTTTAATTTTTTGAAACATTAAAAGAGTTAGAATGTGTAATAATCCAAAAACCCTTTAACCAAATAAAAGAGTTAAATTATACCATTTCTTACTAATTTACTATCTCTTCTATTTTATTCATCGTACGGTATCAAAAAGTTTAATCCAACAATAAAACATATAGCAAAACCCTTAAACCAAATAAAAGAGTAAATTACATCATTTTTCACTGAACTTTACTCTTCCTCTTATTTTATCCATCGTATTTTTAATTTTTCTATTTTGTTTATTAAACTTTACAGATTGAATCATTTTTCTCAATCTACCATTAACTTTTTAACTGTGTTATGATATAACACAAGAATCAAAACGACGTCGTTTTAAAAAACTCAAATATACACCAAAACAACATCGTTTTGAATCCTCTTCTTTCTCCCATTACTGTTGTCGGCCACCACGTCTTTTTTCATTCGGGCCACCGTCAACCATTATTGATGGTGCCCGTTCGGTCTAAAAATTCATGAGTCGGTTTGTCTCAATCCCCGAGTCCAAATCTGGTGGTTGTTTCACCGAAAAATGTCTCAAAATTCGTGAGTCTTGACTCAAACGTTTCAGCTTCCTCACTTTCAATCTCCGATTCATGGACTTCGAAGCAAGTTCCAACAAAATGGAGGATAGATTCGGACTCAAAGTGTCGATTCGAAGTGATTCATGAAATTTGGGACTGAACAACCATTAACTATGGCGCTCGACGGTGGCTGAAGGTGGCATCTGATCAACTTCTGTTTTTATTTTATAGTTGGGTGAATGGAATAGAAAAGAAAGTAAAGTTCAATAAAGAACGATGTTATTTACCCTTTATTTTTTCAATTATTTTATATTAAATAATAATAAAAAATGACACTTCATTACAATATTAAAGAGATAACGACAAAGTGAGTAAAATGATTCAATCTATAAAATTTAACGAGCAAAATAAAAAAAATTAAAATTACAATAAGTAAAATAAAAAAAGAATAAAGTTGAATAAGAAATAATATAATTTACCCCAAATAAAAAAGGAACGGACTAGAATCCAGATGACAAGAAAGAATGCTTCAGTTGTAATGTTGTATCGTCGTCTTTATCTTTCGTTGGTCGGTAAAGCAAATTTGGTTTAAAATTCAAAGCTCATAAATTTTAATTTAAAATAATCAATTTTAATAGAGTGAGTTGGCTGGCCCGTCCTTGCTAATGGACTCGGTTTTAATGGCAGTTTAAGTAGGCGATAAGCGTGTCATTAAGCTTATTTATCGCTCTTGTGATTTTTCATTTATTTTTATAAGGCGTACGTTGTCACGAGATTAAAAATGTTTTGAACATAAATCACCTTACAATTATTCTAAACTGTTTAAAAAAAATAAAAGAATGAATTTTGCCCATATAATAGACCTAATTTATCACTTTCGTCCAATCATATTTTCTCATCAATTTAACCCTCAAAATTATTTTAATTGTGTCATTTTATATCATATCCCTAACTTAAAACCCTAAATCATAAACTTTAAATTAGAGTTTAGAGCTTATGATTTAGAGTTTATGAGTTATGATTTAAAGTTTATAATTTAGGGGTTTAAGTTAAGGTTAAAATATAAAATGATGCTATTGAATAAATTCGAGAACAAAATTAATACGAAAATACGATAATAATAAAAATTATAAATTAAGTATACTACATGAGCAAAATTTACCCATTTTGCCTAAAAAAGAATACTATTAAGACATTACAAAGCTTCATGGATTATTATGATTGTAACTGACAGTAGAAGAACATCAAAGAATATCTCGCCTAAGGATTAACCCCAACTTAATTTTTTTTTTCATTCGGTATATTCTTTAAACTAGCTTTTAATATAATTTTGATGTGATGAAATTATATATATATATATAAAGAGAGAATCACAAGGATAAGAGACTAAGCTTCACTTAGTAGAATCAGACATGACATTGGGAACTCATACGAAGATTGTGTTACTTAGCTTGTCTTCTTTTGAATCGAATTCACTTTAATTGCTAGAAATAATATTGTTGTGAATTAAAACATTAGTAGTGAGTAGTGACCTTAAAATCTCAACCATTTAAGATCTAATTGAAATTTAGATAGAAATTTACAAATAACTTACCAACCGTGATAGTAGTAATATTCGAAGTTGATATTATAAGACTAAATTTCTGAATCTCAACCATTTAAATTTATTTTATCCGAAAAAAACAATTGACTTTAAAATTGGAATTAATTATTATTATTATTATTTAAAAAAATCCTACAAGGATGAGAGAGAAATGATCATCCAGCTCAGTTGGTAGAGCACAAGGTTTTTAACCTTGAGGTCGTGGGATCGAGTCCCACGGAGAGTATTTCATAATTCGGAGGTCTTTTACGGAAGTTGCTCTCAACCTAATATTGAGGGTAGCATACTATCTTACCTCCCCTTATCCCATATGAAAAAAAGGACAATCATTTTCTACAAGGATGAGAGAGAATGAACAAATTTGATTATTTTGGGCTACATGCCAAAAAGATAACACCGAAACCAACAAAAGAAATGTAAGGCGATGTTCCCGGGAAACCCATCAATCTTAGCTGTATATAGTGTTACTGCGGTAGGTGGAACAAGAACAAAAACGGCCCCGTTTCCCTTACCAGCATTAGAACGCCGTTTTGTAACTACTACACTGTCTCTTCTGTTTGAAAAGCGCTTCAATAACCCCATCTCTAAATTACGCCTTCTTCTTCTTCAAATCCACTAACAGTAATTGCCTCCCTTCAAATCAATGGCAATGGCGAAGGATTAGACAAAAATTAAAAAAAACCCTCTCTTCTTCTTCTTCAAATCGAAGGCTTAAAGCTTCAATCTTTTCGCTTTTCTCTTCAATGTTTTCCACTCCGTTCATTCTCTCCTTTTCTCTCCTGCTTTTCATCCCGATTCTCTTCTTCTTGTTAGGCTCGAGTTTGAATCCCCAGCCTTCGCCGCCCATTTCCGCCTCCGATGAACACGACGATCTCCGTCTCTTCCACCGCGCCACCGTCTCTCCCTCCGCCTCGTCCCACCTCTCCTCCTCCTCCTCCCCTAAAATCGCTTTCCTTTTCTTGACCAACACCGACCTCCATTTCCTCCCCCTTTGGAACCGTTTCTTTGGACACGCTAAAACTTCTCTTTTCAACGTGTACGTCCACGCCGACCCCATCGTCAACGTGACTCGGCCTCCGCTCGGCACCGTTTTCGGCGACCGCTTCATCCCAAATGCCAAACGCACTTTCCGGTCTTCGGCCACGCTAATCTCCGCCACTCGTCGCCTCCTTGCAACTGCCATACTCGACGATCCCGCCAATGAATACTTCGCCGTCGTCTCGCAGTATTGCATCCCTCTCCATTCCTTCAATTACATCTACCGCTCCCTCTTCACCTCCAAAAATTTCGATCGGACCTCCAAATCTGATCCCGACTCGTCCGGTTTTATTCAGTACGGTATCCTCAAGCACAAGTCCTACATCGAGATCATTTCCGAGGAACCCAGACTGTGGAAGAGGTATGCGGCGCGTGGGCGGTTCGTGATGATGCCGGAGGTGCCTTTCGAGGAGTTCCGAGCTGGATCTCAGTTCTTCGTGTTGACTCGGAAAGACGCGTTGTTGGTGCTAAAAGACAGGACGCTTTGGAGGAAATTTAAGCTGCCGTGTTTCCGAGCGGATGAGTGTTATCCGGAGGAGCATTATTTCCCGACCTTGTTATCAATGCAAGATCCAAATGGGGTGACCGGCTATACTTTGACTCGGGTTAATTGGACCGGAACCGTAGAAGGGCACCCGCATATGTTTAAGCCGAAAGAAGTAACCCCCGAGTTGATTCATGAGTTGAGGAAGTCGAATTATTCGAGTTCTTACTTGTTTGCTCGGAAGTTTTCGCCTGATTGTTTGAGACCCTTGATGCATATTGCTGATTCTCTCATTTTCAGAGATTGAGATTCTTCCTGGTGAGTAAACCATCCTTTTAATTTCGTTCCTTTGTTCGAGTTTGTGTAGTGAGATCTTAAAGGTAGGTTTTTTATCTGGGAATCTTAAGAGTCTTGTAAGAGTGTGCGGCATTATCTGTAGGTGAATGATTATTGATACCATTTATCGAGGGAGGGATGCAGAATTTTACGATAGGAGAAAAACTTTAAGATTTCAATACGCATAGAATTGCTTTGGGGATGCATTTGGTTCTGTCATTTCATCATCTGCTCCTTTGCATTTTGTTCATTGCTATTCTGTAATATTTCTTTGCTAATTTAGGACTTGCTATTTCGAGAAGCTTGGAATGCATTTGAGCTTGCTGTACTCGGTCATTCATAAATGAAATTTGCTAAAAAATTATGGGGCATTATCCTATATAATCAGCCAAATCTAGAGATCCCTTACCTTATATAATGATGGCGAACTTACTTTGAACATTTTATTGAAAGAAGATGATTCTAGTTATCTTGTCATTCTAGTCATTCGTCACTTCATGCAAATATGTGATGACATTGATGTGCTTTTACTTAAGTACTTTAGCCAAATTTTAATTTAGACTTGTGAAATTTGAGCAATTTATTGAACCGTTTTAGTATGATGAGTTCTTTTGGGACATGCATAACAAGTTAGAAAGAAATGAGTTTTAGTCTAGTTGGTGCTCGGGGTCGTCTGGTTCTGTTTAGTACTGGTTTGAGCTAATGCTACCTTTGCAATATTGGGGTTGTGTGCAGAATTGAATTCGGGCATATATATCGATCAAAACTTGGTACATTTTCTGGCTTCTCTGCTTGAGTGGGAGAATTTGTTTGGTATTTCATGTATGGATGTCTATATCATGTGATTGTGCTGAAGAGATTGTGGTGTTTACTCATGCTGATATTTGTCCTTGTCCTTGAAACGTAGATTTTTTTTTCTTTCAAAAAAGGCATAATGCCAAAAAATCCCCTAAAGTTTGACTAAATAGTCACTTAGGTCCATATTCTTTTTTTGGAGCATTTTGGCATCCAATGTTTCATTTTGGGGCAAAAAGACCCTCCCGTTGATGGAAATCGTTAGTCAACAAACGGCTAATGCTAAAATATAGGGGTCTTTTTACCTTAAAATGAAACGTTGAGGGGCCAAAATGTTTCAGAAAAAAGAATAGGAACCAAAGTGAAATGTTATGGATATTGTTTTGGTATTATGCCTTAAATAAACCCATCTTGTGACTGTGCAAGGATTGAACGTCTTGGAGTTAGATTCTTCACGTCTTATGTGTTTTGAGCTGACTGGTGATGCCTTTTCACAGGTGAAGACCTTTTTTTTTCCTGTTCTTTTTGAAGGATGTATGTAGCTTGGAGCACAAGTTGGAGAGGGGAATATGGCTTTGGAGAGGCATAAAAGTGTCCACATCCAAAGTTATAACCCCAAAATTTCCAGCATTGTTTGAATGGTCTAAAAGAGGGCTAATGCTTTTGATAAAGTTGTAATTTGATGGTGTAAGAGTAGGCAACAGCATAACTAGGTTTTGTCATTTTCTTGTGTCTGTGTGATTTGTACATATCATGGAATACAGCAATCAAATTCTGTCCTTGAGGCGAAAAGAAAGCATGGCTAAGTTAGACCAGTGCTGGCTCTTATAGTTCGATTATATTACTCGCATCTTACCATATATTATCTTTTCCTTTATTTAGTTTCTATTTGTGCCATTCACCCTTTTCTTTTGAGATGGGGTTCCATACATTTAGGCTAATGATCTCTTAAGAATGTTTCCAATGAAAATACATTGCTAAACTAACAAGATATTTCGGGTTTATTGTTGGAAATAATAAGTTTTCTTTTTAATAAAAAAAATCATGCCCGTTTAGCGGTAGTATTAAAAGAGGGCAAGCTGCTAAGTGGTCTCATGTTCCCTATTTTGAGCCGTCAATTGAAATTATCCGTAAAATCAAGTTTTAGGAAATCCTAAAAGTCTTGAATTCGAATAAATGTATATGTAGGATGTGTATGTGTTCAAGATTGAATCAAGAGGGGTAGTCACACTCTTAGAAAATTTGAAATTATCATATATTTTAGACTTTTTTTTTACATATTTTATATTGAAAATTTGTTTTCGCCCATAAGAAATCTTATAAGATTTCTCTCTTTTAAAATTTTAAAAGCTTATCTCTAATATAAAATTTTACATTCTTTTTATATATATATATATATATATATATATATATATTAAGAAACTTTTAAATAGATATCATCTTATGATCTATTGTTTTCTATGAATATATGGAACGCTTAATTTCTATTGTTTTCTAGGAATATATGAAAGGCTTAATTTTTAATGCATTTCGGTACCTTGAATGCATTAAAAGCAAGAAAATTATCCTGAAAACATGGAACGTATTCACACGCAAGTGGTCAGTTTAGAAAGAAAAGGAAAATAAAAACAGAACATATCTGTCGGTGGTGTTAGATTAACGACAACAAAGACCGTGACGCTTTCTTCTCTCATCGTCGACTCTTCTCTCTCTTTGCTTGAAGCAGGCGCTACAAAGAAAGTCAGGATCAAAGATCCTGGTCCAGAACCCTCTACGACACGCCAATGGCGATCGATGTTCAGGAGGAGATCCAGCCGTCGAATGCGACAATTATGACAGGCCATGCGATTGGAGATCAGACCCCTTCAATTGAAGAGGGTAGTTTTTCTGATTTTTTGGCCCTGGAAGATGATGATATTATCACAGGAACTAGATTTGGCCTCCCCTCCATCCAGTTCACGGATCGAGCATGTAAGATGTTGGAATCTAGTATGGCCAAAATGGTGGTTCTTAAACTTCTTTAGAATAAGTACTCTGTCACTCGTTTTCAGACGGAAGTGGATTATATGAAAGTCCTGGCGGAAGGACCATGGATGATTTATGGGCAATATTTGACGGTTCAGCCATGGACGTTTGATTTCAGCACCTCCTAACCGTACCCGACCATGGTGATTGCATGGATAAGGTTTCCTGGCCTCCCAGAGTACATGTATCACGAAAAAATTCTTCATCGGATTGGCTATTTAGTTGGAAAGGTCGCTAAACTTGATTTTCACCAAGGAACAAGTAATCAACAACGCTATGCGAGGGTGGCAGTTTATGTGGATCTGACATCGCCTCTCATATCTAGGGTGGTTATAAGTAACCAATTCCAAAATGTTGAGTATGAAAATTTGCCAACCATCTGCTTTTCTTGTGGCAGGTTTGGTCATCTTCAGGAGTAGTGTAACCATAATGGGCAAGCATCGAATGCAAAGGAAACAGTCCAGCCTACAACGATGCAGGAGTCTCCCAAAGAGGCTAGTTTTTCAGCGGATAAGGAGGTTAAGCTGAACAATGATTCTGAAGAGGCCCCTTACGACCCTTGGATGGTGGTGGAGAGGCGGCGATGACGACCACAGGGGAAGGAAAAACAAAGGAAAGAATCGGCTGAAGAGTCCATGAAGAATGGTGCAAAATCAACTACCCTACATAGCAACCCCAACAATCATGGAAAGCAAGTGGATTCGGTGGAAAAGCCACAGGAGAATATTCGGGAAACTCAAGTTGGCAAGAATATTCCTAATATCAAGGAAAATTTTGCTAGATCCCCTCAAATTAGGACCGTTGTTACACCTGAAATAAAGAATATTCCTAAAATCAAGAATATCGGTGCTTACCATTTTTTCTACAATGCACCGAAAATGCATTTAACTGTCAACAATCTCCCACTTGAAGATTTGATTGGAACAATCATATCTTCACACCATTCTTTCTACATTGTATCATCATGTTGCTTACGTCTCTGACACGCCACAAGAGGATCGACACCACGTAAATTTATCAGCGTTGATCGCCTTCGTCATGAAATCTGCTTGTTGTCTTTGGTATGGATCTTCTGCATATCTACCGTCCCTTCTTCCACTTTTTCACGAATGAAATGGTACTGAACTCGTATGTGCTTTGTCCTTGAATGAAATGCTGGATTCCTTGCTAGATGCAAGGCGCTTTGACTGTCACAAAACAAAGAGACATACTCTTGATTGTGCCCAAACTCCTCCAATAGCATCTTCAACCAGATTGCTTCTTTACTGGCTTGTGTAGCTGCTACATATTCTGCCTCTGTTGTGAACGTAGCCACAATTGACTGCAATTTTGAAACCTAGCTTACATCTCCACCAACAACTTTGAACACATAACCTGTAGTAGTTTTGCTTTTATCCAAATCCCCTGCATAGTCAGAATAAACATACCCATTGATAAATAAGTTTGATCCTCCGTAACATAATGCAACATTTGAGGTCCATTTGATGTATCTCAGGATCATCTTTAATGTATTTCAATGCTCTTTGCATGAATTCTCCATGTATCGACTAACCACTCCCACTGCTTGTGCAATGTCTGGTCTTGTGCATATCATAGCGAACATTAAACTTCCTATTGCCGATGCATACGACACTCGAGACATCTTGATCATCTCTTTTTCACTGCTAAGACTCATACTGGAGAATAATTTGAAGTTAATAGGAAGAGGGGTAGAAATTGACTTTCAATCTTGCATATTGAATCTTGACAAGATCTTCTTCAAGTCATTCTTTTGTGAAAGCCAAATCTTCCTATTACTTCTGTCTCGGTGAATTTGCATCCCTAGAATCTTGTTTGCTGATCCCAAGTCCTTCATTTCAAATTCCTTAGCTATTTGTGCCTTCAATTCTTCAATATGATCTTTGTTGGGTCCTGCAACCAACATGTCATCCACATACAACAACAATATAACAAAATCGTTATCACCAAACCTCTTGAAATAAGCATAAGGGTCTGGGTTAAGTCTATTGTATCCAAGGCGCATAATGAAGGAATCAAATCTCTTATACCAATACTTCGACGCCTGCTTTAGACCGTACAGAGATTTGTTCAACCTGCTAACCAAGTTCTTTTTTTTCTTCAAAACCTTCAGGCTAGAGCATGTAAATCTCTTCTTCAAGATTTCCATGAAGAAAAGATGTCTTAACATCTAGCTTCTCTAGATGTAAGTTCAATGTAGCACACATTGCCAAGACTACTCGAATTGTTGTTAGTCGAACCACAAGAGAAAAAATTTCATTAAAATCAATTCATTCTTTTTGAGCATATCCTTTTACCACCAGTCTTGCATGATACCTCTCCACTTGATCGTCACTATTTCGCTTGATTTTGAACACCCATTTGTTACCAATTGGCTTCATTCCTTGTGGTAGTGGCACAAGGTCCCATGTATTATTTTTATGAAGGGCTTCGATTTCTTCTTGCATCGCCATCATCTATAGTGAAGCATCTGAGTTGTTTATTGCCTCCTGAAATGTTGATGGCTCACCGTCCTCTGTTAAAAGGTAGTGTGCAATATTACCTTCTATAATATAATATGAGTGACAATTGGGATGTCTTCTCACACGATCTGATTGACTAGTTGTTGGAGCTTCAGAACTCTCTAGTTCTTGTTCATAATGTGCTGGTTCTACTTCAGAAGAATCTTCTTGTTCAAACTCCTTTTCCACATGTATCTGTGTAGTCTTTGACTTTTCAGCACTATCATCGTCTTCTTTTCTTTGTAGCTTATCTTCTACAAAGATAACATCCCTGCTGATGATCACTTTGCGGGCAGTGGGATCCCACAAGCGATACCCCTTTACTCCATCAGCATTCCCCAAGAATTTGCATTTCCTGGATTTTGGATCCAACTTTGAAATTTCTTGGGAGATGTACATCACTTACACAATACTTCCAAATACATGGAGGTTTGAATAATCAGCTGGTTTACCATTCCACATCTCCATTGGTGTCTTCAGCTCTATTACAGTTGATGGAGCTCAATTTACCAAATAACAGGCAGTATTGACTGCTTCTGCCCAAAATGATTTTTCTAGGCCTGCGGCCCTCAACATTTCTCTTGTTCTTAACAAGGTTCTTTTTATCCACTCTGCCACTCCATTTTGTTGAGGAGTGTTCGCCACTGTTAACTGTCTTTTAATGCCTTCTTTCCTGTAAAAGTCATCAAATTCTTCACTTGTGTATTCTCCTCTATTATCTATTCTGAAACACTTGATCTTATTTCCAGAATCAAGTTCAACCTGTGCTTTAAAGTTTTTGAAAGTTGAAAACACATTTGACTTCTTCTTAATATGGTACACCCAACATCTCCTGGAGTAGTCATCAATAAATGAGACAAAGTATTTTTCTCCGCCTAGGGATGTAACTGGTGCTTGCCATACGTCAGAATGAACTAATTCTAGAACACTTTTGCCTCTAGAATTTGATGTGTTGAATTTTAACCTGTACTGCTTACTTGCTATGCAATGCTCACACAAAGTAAGTGATACATTTGTTAAGCCTGGAAGTAGCTTTTGCTCCGCAAGGACTTTCATTCCTTGTTCTGACATGTGTCCAAGTTTATGATGCCATAGCATTGTAGAATCTGAACTACATGAGGCAACAGAGGCTTCTGCTTCTAGCAAAGTCTCTCCCTTCAACATGTACAAGTTTTCTACTATCTTTTCCCCTTTCATCATCACAAGCGCTCAACACCTTCATGATTTCTTTTTCGTGTTTCAATCATGCTTGCATTATTATCCAAAAATCTGTAGGATAATAAATTTTTCTT